AGAGGGTGTGGTAGGACAGTCTAGCTGAGACTGGTAATGTTCCATTTATGTTCAAACTGATATGGTGCCTAGCATTATTGTGTTGCAAGAGAAAGACTGTCCATTTCTCTGGCCTAACTGCAAGTTAGAACCTTCAACATATTCAGTGTCATGATGTAGTGGTCAGAGTTGATGGTTTGTCTAGGTTCCAGGAAATCCAGAAAGCTTAACCCTTTCCTATCCTGAAAGATAGTGCAAGTCACTCTAGCCACTGAGGACTGTCTTGAACTTTTCTTTGATGGTAAATGCACTTGTTGCCACTGTGTACACTGCCATTTTGACTCTGGCTTGTAGTGGTGACACCATTTCTTGTCACCAGTAATGATACAGACTGGGAATCTGTCACTTTCAGCCTTGTAATGGTTCAAAAACTCCTGAGAAGCTTGCTTGTGGTGTTTTCTGTTCCTGTGTGAGCATTTGTGGGGTTCACCTGGTGCAAACTTTGTATTATTCCAATATTGCCATCCTCATTTCCAGTGAATCAAAGCCAATATTCAGCTCTATACGCAGTTCCATGTTTGTATTCTGCCACTTCACACAGATGAGCTCATTGAGACTCTTCATTTTGTGGTGCAGCAGCTGTGCATGGCCATCTGAAACAGGCTTGTCTTTCACATCATTAGTGCCACTGCTGAAATACACCATTCTGTTTCCTTATCCTCACGTCTGCTGTTTGGTCTCTATTCAGCAAGAGTCAATGAATGTGAATGGATGCAATTTTTTCCATATCAAGGAGCACACCTCTGCTTCGTATGCGCTTCAGTGTCAGCTGCCATTTTGTCAGACTGCTCCTCTGCTGCCATCTGTAACACAGCAACAACATGTAATGGAATATCAAAAGGAAGGTTCAACTTCTGCTGCCATTCCATCAATACCTGCCTTTGACATTGTGGGCCAACATAAAATAGGGCACATTGCTTTTGGAGCAGCCCTTATATCTACATACAGTGTAAAGGAGCTTAACTGCATAAAAATTATTCCAAGATCTCTTCCATGCACTACTTTTAAAATATTTGAGGCAACTTATGCCTGATCCTTGTCATTTTTTTTTTTCCATTAATCATGGAATAGGGGCTTTCAAAAAGCTTGCTTATTCTTGCACGTTACATTAGTGGTAAGCACGCTAAGTTATAGCGTATCAGTCTCTTCTATGTGTTTAGAATACTCAGATAACATTTTACTGTATATGCTGCCTGCCTTATAATAAGGCCAATGTCACCTAAAAACTCTAAGCTTTCAGACTTTACCTCCCACATAATATATCTAGTGGTGATTCTACTGTAAAACTGAGCCTTTCTAAAGCTTGCGCTTGTCACTAATTATGTAAATCATCTGCACCGGTTTCATTTGCCAACACAGAGTTCTAAGCACAATCTTACAAAATATATAGCCCCGTTTTAGTAGCAACTGGTGATTAAAAATGGCAGATTTATGCGCTTCACTGAAGACTTAAACATAGAAAAGTGCAAAATACCCAAGAAAATGTAGACCAGTCAGATGAATGAAGATGTATTTGTTTGTATATTCACTCATTTATTGGATGTTAATGGCTGTGTATAAAATGAATTTAACGGCACTCCATCTCATTTCCCACATCAACAACTCCCAGTTAGGACTTGAATTAGTTGGCAGATGCAGGACAGCAGCCAAGAGCCTTGTGGCTATTATGACTGCAAGGTAATGCAGATCAAGGCAATGTGTGTCTGCCAGATATTGTGTTTGAGAAGTTAGTTCTTCCTTTTCCTGCACATAAACAGACGACTTCGTCACCACACAATGTTTCTCAGAAGTACTGAAACATTTTGTTACAGTCTTTCGAGACCGATTTCCTTCTGTATCTACCTGTTCTCAAAACTATTTTTTAATTCAGCACTGTTTTCTTACATTAGATAGCTTCCTTAGCTTTAAAATCTCATTAAAAATGAGATGATAATGTTTCCTTCTCAATACTGTGGTATTCTATGATGACTCTAAAACCAAAATGAAGTTTTAACTTGAAATAGGTTTTAACAGAAGCCTTTTTAACAAATTAATTCATTATCATAAAAAATTTATTTGCAGAGGAAACAATCTGAAGAAGAAAGCCCTATGATGGTTTCTAGCATGGGCACATTTATGAGAAACTGCCCCTCACCCTATGCCATTTTATTATTGGAAAGAGTAGTTTCCACCCCAAGCTGAAAGAATGGCACTGTGTTGCAAAGGGATTTGAGCATCCTAGCTAGAAATAGATCAGAGTTGACATAAACAGAAGAAAGCATTTTGTTATTAGAATAAACATGTATAGTTCTGATTAATGACTTCTATTTGCTCAAGCGCTTGTGATTTATAACACAATTTCTTTTATCATCTTTTGTTATTCGGGATTCTTGAGTGAGATACATACATTTGCAGATATGCAGTGTGCTACCTTTTGTGCCTTTCCGCTGAACGCTCACATTTCCCACTCTGATACACTTGGATGTGTTGACTGATCATTTTGGTTTTAGCATTATATTAAAAGAAATACTTGCCATAAAGCTCTAAAATATTAGTTGCTTCTCATATATTTCTTGGATAACTCGAAGGTCAGAAAATGTAGAGTGGTTGTTGTGTTTGCCATAATCACATGATGCATGTACATCTGCACCATTAAATGTCTTGGACAAATATTTAATATAACTGCTTACAATCAAAGCATAGGATCCTTCTCCTGACTGCCTATTACAATTACAGCAGTGTTTTCTTGATCGGCCCCTTCAAGCTGGGGTTTGTATAATGCAAAAGCAACCTTAATAATCCTATAATAGGGTATCTTGCGTCATCAAGTTCTGATGTCTTCTACTTTGATCTTCTCTAGAACTTCCAGTCCTACCCAGCAGGACTTTTCAGTAAGACTCAGTAAGCTTCAGTCTTGCTTTCTCAATAGAATGACCCGAGAAGTCTGTATCTGCCTCTACAGATCTCCATAACTTTTTTTACCTGCTATGTTCTTGAAGTTAAAACTCTTCTTTTTCGTAGAGGTCAGCAGCCAACTTACCCTCTGCTCACCCCTTGGCTCTCAATTGCCTCTAGCCTCAGACTTAAGCGAATCTGCAAGTAAGTTCTATTGCTGTAATCCTATCTCTTTACTTTACCAGGCATCTAGTATGAATTATGCAGTGTGAGGAAAACAGAGCTAGATGTTGTACTGTTTCCCAAGTTTAAATACAGTGTTCTGGGGTAAGATCTGCTCTTTTTTCTGGGAAATTCTATCAGATTATATTTCCTCTCGTTCTGGATAGGTGTTTTCTCAAGAATATGTGTGGCTTTCTGCCAGATCCTTCAGGAAATTCCTGCAGACTTTCTGGCAGGGGTTACTTCAGGAAATCTTTGATGATGTCTGGTTTCCTAATTCAGCACATATTAGTTCCAACTGCCACTCTATAACCTTAATCAGGTACATTTGGGAATTTCATCCCATTTTATTCATAGGAGCCATGATGACCTTTTGACCTGGCACAACAGAGAAAATAAATTATGAGAGCCTCCACGTACAGAAATGATTGACTTAATGTGGGAATGATCTTCAGATTAAAGATGCTCTTCATGTTTCTCAGCTTAAAAATGAACAGAGAAAAATTCATATCCTTGAAGCAATTATACTGTTCAAAATGACTGTGAACTTTTGTAAAACCAGACTGTCTATTTACCCTATAAAGATCTGAAATCGTTTCTGATTTTCTTCTTCGAAATACATGTATTTCAAACAGGACTCTTAACATTGATTGCACCCAAAGTCTTCTTGTCTGTCTTTCACTGTCTAATTATATGAGCACTTTTCATAGGCTAGGCTAAAACCAGTGTGTGAGCCAACCATGCACAGTTCTGTGGCTCTGTTGATTTGCTAGGTGTTTAAGCATCGTAATGCCAGTAAAAGACTCTAAGGATGTATACAGAAATACGACTTTTTTTTAAGCTTGTCAAACAAAACCTTCACAATGAAGAGTATTCCATAACAAAATGCTTTAATGACTAAGTATACCAAACTGATTCTTAAAATGCGATTGAATCATCATCAATGGACCCATGAGAAAACTTTTTCACAAGCTGTTCATATAGCATCAAGCATCTCTGATGGCAGTCCATCTTTAACTTCCCAAAATAGTTCATGTAGGTACTTATATTCAAAGTGTGAGCCAATTAGGTAGAGATTTCTTCCAATAGGCTTCTATTTCAGCCATATTACCAGTATACTTCAGTGCTCTAAATGGCCAGTAATGTCCTGAAGCTATATTTAGATAAGAGAAAGCAAAGATAACACATAATTGGTGATTGCAGAGTCCTAGCTTTTAATTTACAAATTACTAAATCCATTAGCCCTTTTATAGGACAGTCTACATCCTTGGTGTGTGAATGAGAAGCAGAAAGGATAGTGCTTGTTGCAAGCAAACTAGTTACAGTTTTTGCTCCTGCTGCTGTTTTATGAGATATCTCCATTTCAGAGCTCTTTAAAACATACAAGAGATTCAGTGCGTGCTTTTATCAGCAATTATTCTTGATGAAGGCTCAGATATTCTTACTAATGAAGCATTTATATAACATTTGTTTAATTAAGCTTGAGGTCAAACTTTTCTTGGTGTTTCTGTATACTTTGTGTCTTGAACAATGCTGATGCTGGGAAGGTTTAACTTTTCTCATGGGTCAGTACTGGATCTTCTTCATCCTAAGTAACTAATAATATAGTAGAAGGGATTTTCTTAGTCAAGGATTTGATTTAAAAAAATCAAACAGAAAACAAGGTAAGGATTAAAGAACTGCATTTTCTGAGGTCTGTCACCACCAAAATTCATAAACAAGCTGTGTGTTCATTGTGCCTAAGATAAAAGCTCCTAAATTCTTCTGTTTATGTCTTGTTAATCTGTAGTTAAATATGTTTCTGTGAGGATAAAAATGTGAATTGATTTTAACTGAAAATGTATTATTTTTGTTTGTTTGTTTAGGAAGGGCATTCCAAGTGAACAAGTGAAACAAACTGATAGAGAGCAAGCAAAGCGTATCGTTTACTCAGTGGTTTATGGAGCAGGTAGGCATTCTTATAAAATAAATTGCTACAGTATGTTCATACCATCTATGTAACTTATGCAAATATACCAAATGTCTGAAGATGAGTTAAATTTTGCCAGTGTATTATATTTTGATTTTTGTTAAGTATTGTTAAGTAATTAAAATTGTCAAATTAATATACCTGCATTGACCTATATAAAAATTACACAGATGTCAGGTTTATTTGCTGCTGATGTAAGGGATGCACTTGTCTTCATCTAAAATAGGCATAATTTTTAGGAAACTTTATTTTCTGTTGATATTTACAAAGAGATGAGAACAGGCCTAATTAAATGAGAAGAACTCAGATACTGTCTCTAACTCAGATACTGACTCAAGATGCATTCTTACAGCCACGGAATGGTAAGGCTGGAAAGGACCTCTGGAGGAGATTGCTGGTATTATGCTTACTGCAGTCAGTGGAAGTCTACTATTTCACGTAGTGATTTTTTTTGGTTTGTGCTTTCTTAGCTTTACATTGCTCTTGGTTCGTATTTTTAAAATCTTTCCTATAATCTTGGAGGACAGAAAACACTATAATACAGAAAAGTTTTACTAGGTATAGGAGTTGGTACCTTAATTAATATACCATCTATTGAGAGATAGAGCAGAATTTCAGACATTTTGCCCAATGTGGAGCAGTTATATTCATCTGTTTATGCCTCAGTCATCCTGTGAAACTACAGAAAAGGCAACTTAAACATCTATGAAAGAAAGAATCGCTTCTCTTCAGTGGCACTAGTCCTGTGTTCTAGTCTTGTCTTATACAGAGCACAGAGGCATGTCAAAGTGTTTAAATGAAAAACAGAGAAGCTGGTTGGAAGTGTGATATGATTTTATAGAGCGGAAGATGCTAGAACACATAAGCTATTAGTAACAGTTTCCCTGGCACGGATAACTCAAGGGGAGTGCTCAAGGAAGCTTCAGCCCACTCCTGGGAGTTGCTTAGCATGGCCTGTGCTCCCACATGGTGAAATACGGTCTTAAGTGGCTGTAGAGTCTTCTCTTTTTGCTTTCCAGGAATTGCATTTTGCTGGAACTTCTCAAACTCCCTTGTTGTTGTTGTAGTTTAATTTTCCTTCTCTTGTATGTAATTCTTTGTTCTGTATAGCAAGTAGTTCTTTAGAAGGGTAACATGGACAAATACAGATGTTGCAGTTCTCCAAGAAAGCCTCAGCACTCTTCTAGCCATTAACAACACGTGCTTTTGCAGATAGATTTGTCATTTTCTGACCAAGAAATTAAAAACAAGTTATTTTGATGTAAAATAGATTCCCAGGCCAATAACAGGTCAGCTAGGAGTCATCTGAGATGTGAATTTCTTGTTCTAGCACCTTGTCTGGACTGGTGTTCCTGTCGCTCAGTGCAGATCCCAGCATGACAGAACAAAATGCTACATTATTCTGTATTCAGAAGTCTGAAATGCATATCAGACTGACAGGGATGGCATTTAGGTGGCTGAAATTCTTTCTCTTTAAGAACGCTGGATAATTTTTCTTGACAGTATTATCATGACAGTAACTGTTCTATGCTTTTAGTGCCTTGAAACTTTACCTCTCAGCTTATGTTGTTTCCAGACTCAGTGTTGGTTTTGTGATGCTGTGCAGACAAATATATCCGTCTTTCAAACTTTGTATGACTAAAGTTGATGTGTCTGTTATTTTTAATGAAAATATTTAATTTATAAATGTATTTAAACTGAAACTCTTAGATAATACTTTTGTACTGTGAAAAAATGTCTTTGGTATAATATTATATGTTTGCAATATATGTAATAATATATATTATGCATCTATATCTTATCCAAAATGCAGTACTCCTTTCCATCTCTGCTGAAACAATTTTCTATTCTGCATTTCTTTTCCATCCCTTTCATCTCACAACTTGGATTTAGATTTCTGTAGACATTGAGGAGTCCAAGACTGTTTGAAATCTGTGGGATTAAAACTTTTAGCTGTATTTTTAAAATCAGGCCACCTGGTCTGATTACTTCTGCTGTTAGGTTTTTTTTATGAATTCTACACCATACCCAAAGCTTCTGGCTAAACTCAGCTAGCCATACCTCCATATTTTTTTTACGTAATTTGTAGGTTCTATATCTTCTCCTTAGAGTCTGCAGATTTCAACTTCAACAAAACATTCAAGCTCAAGGATAATGTTTGCATCATTGAAATATGATTATGGATATCAGATCCATCCTCTTTCATAGAGATGGGCATATTTACCAATTTCAGTAATTGTGAACGTAACAGTTTTATTGTCTGTAATGGATTTCTGTTCTTTTTTTTTTTTTTTTTTTTTTTTTTTTTTGTGTACAGGTAGAGAACGTCTTGCAGAATGTTTGGGAATTACTCCTCTTGAAGCTAGTTGCTTTATAGAGAGTTTTATGCAAAAATACAAGAAAGTACATGAATTTACCAAGAAAACCATTGGACAATGCCAAAATAAAGGTAATCCAAATTGACAACCATTATTTTTTTAATTACTCATTGTGTCACAACGATGAAGACAGAGATTCAGCTTAATCTAAATTCACATAATTACAGAACAAGAGATAATATGTAATATCATCTCTTGGTGAGTCAGGTATTTTTTCTCTTTTACTCCTGAGACAAATTGGTTGGCAGCTTCTCTGCCTTTCCTAAGAAAGATGCTAGCAAAGTAATATTTCTGTTCTCAGTCTGAACTCTACTTAATGTCAAGCTATACTACATCATTTCAACATAAAATGTACTCCAACACAAATCCAGGGAATATTTTACTTAATAAATATGTTACATCACTGCTGAAACACGGAAGTTCAGCCATTTAGTCAAAGAACCAGTTTACAGAAACAATTTTTAAATACGTGTTTCTTTGTCACAGTAGTCAGACTTTCAAGCTCAGGTGGTATCTGTGATGACAGATGTGTGCAGAGTGCTTCTTGAAGCCAGCAGCTGCAAAGTCTTTTAGCATTGAATTTGTTGTTAGTCTACATATTCATTTACATTTAGAGAATCCTAGGAGTGCAGCAATTAGAGAAGAGAAAGAACAGCTGCTAGAAATATTTTTAAAGTTTACTAGAAGAACTGTCAAGATGGATTTCTTAGTACACTGTGTGGTACAGTGTGGTGTACTAAGAATACTGTAGAAATAAATCGTAAATTTGCCATATAATATTGCCTATAATTATTGAGGTGAACATGATGGTAGTTACAAGTAACTGATTCAGACTTCTTTGTAATGTTTAGACCTTAAAATTCTATGGGGAGCATGAGCTTTCATTGTGTCATGGAATTACATTCCTTCATTCATTAACATTGCTGAAGAAAACATAGGTTTTCAGGAGCTTTCCTTTAGGGAATGAAGCTCAACAAAATATGTATTGTAAAATTTTACGCAATTATGATGTATTTGTTTTGATTTACTTAAAATAGCATTGTTTTCTTCTCTTAAAAGTAAATGAGTTTCCGTAATCAAGATTCTGTGCTCAAGAATGTTTGTTGTGCTGAGTAGACAAGTGTCATAACTAATGTCCTTGATTGTGGTTAAAACATAGTACACACCTGTTTAATTAGTACTCCTCTCACTCTGAACTGTTTATTTCAGTTATATAAGCTCAAAAATTTTTGCAGCAGGCAAACATTCTTTAGTACTTTTCTTGTTCATCCATCTCAGATTAAAAAACTCTTCCAACCTAGAGAGCTCATTTTTACTTATCTGCTGTTCAAAGATGAATGGCATCTGACCAACTAATTTTATTTAGGTTTTACAAATGTTCAGTACTTAATTTACCATAAACATACTATAGAGAAATAGGATTATTACATTAAATCTATTTCTCATTGAGTGTTTAGTGTTTTAAAAATTCTTGCTTCTTACTGTTCTTTGCAGAAAGTCTTAGTTAAATTAGGAAGACTGATTTGCCAGAGAACATCCCAACCTCCGGATAGTTCAGTTCCCTGTTCTAAAAATTGAACTTTTCATGTTCATGCTGTTGGTAATATAGAACTTAACAGAAAGCTTTATTAGTTCAGCAGAGCTATTTTCATTACCCTGTGCATAATATTGGGTTTGTGTTGTACATAGTACAAAAACACAATTTCAACAAAACACAGAACTCTGTGTTTTGAGAGCTTTTATTGCGCATGAGATCAAATTATGGTGTGCAGTCTGAGCTCCAGTGGTATCCAGTGATGGCCTATGGGTAGTCAGGGTGATCAGAAGTGTAACAGAAAACCTTTTTTTAGGACAAGGCTTAGTTTTGGGAGAAAAGTAAAGCAAGACTTTACAAGTGTTTTCTGGACAGGAGGATCATGGGATCTCTCTTTCTCTCTCTGTTCCTCTCAATTGTCCTCCAAAAAAATCCAGCGATGATGGCAAAATACTTCATTAGGCTAAAAATAAATGTTTAACTATTTTAATGTGTTTCATTTAAACTACTTACTTAACTAGAGGTAAGAAAGTTTGGTTGTGGAAGGGACATGAAACTATTGCATTAAGAAAATCGGGGGAAAAAAAATTCTCCAAAAATGATTGGACAATTTTGGGAATGATTCATTAGTGATTTAATTGCTGTGCAAACTGATTTTTTTGCTATTCCCAAGTAAACTATTCATTGCATGGAAAGCTCTAATTATGGCTACTAATAGATAGCTAATTCTGCTAGGTATTTATAGTTTCATCTCCCACAGAGAGTTTGCTATTTTACCAGCATATTAGCAGATAATCCTAATGAAAATACAGCTTTAATGAACATAAATTTTTATTGTATAACATGTATCAATTCTCTGAATAAAATAATTCTGAGGTTAACAATGCAGTAAGCTGTGAATACTTTCAGAGGGCAAATTATCTCAAGGAGCACAATTACAAAAAATCTGCATTATCTTCAAAAATAATTTTTAAAGTTTAACTTGTAATTGCTCTAGAAATGCTGATTTCTACTTAAATCCTACAAGGTTATGTGGTTTCCATTATGGGACGCAAAAGACTGCTTGCTAATATCAATTCACAGGATTACAAACTACGCACTCAAGCAGAGAGGCAGGCTGTCAATTTTGTTGTTCAAGGTAAAGTCTCACCTATGTACCCACCTACTTACCTACCATCTATCTATCTTAACTCTAACAGGCGAAATCTCCTTTGCTCTCAAAAAAATGAGTATTCTCATGGTCTGTTAAAGTAAGCTACTGAGGCATGAGTTTTATTATAAAAACAGAAGTTTAAAATGTTTATTCTAGGTTCCTTGGAAACTTCAAATAAACACAGTATATTAATACAGTAGAGTTCTCTGCCATTGTTAAATACAGGTGTAGGCATTAACTGCATATGGAGAAAACATACAAGATTTCAAGGCTTGAATGCATGGTTGTCTGAAATATTTTCCTTTCTGGCTTCTTTGAGAGTTTCTTTCACAGTGCTTCTGTGATTTTTATGCTTACAGTTTCTGGCTTTTTTTTTTGTCACGTAGCTTTAGTTTAAGAAATATGCAGTATTACAAGAACCTTATTATATTTTGAAACCCAACTCTTCATAAGGAACATTTGAAAATAATTCTCTGAAGGGTGAAAATAAAGATGTTTCTTCAGAGAAATTGGAAATGTAAAAATTAGCACAAAAATACTGAAATATTAGTAATAGATATATTAGCATATATATCTATTACTGTTTGGACCCAAGTCTTGTATAGAATTAACCACATAAGGAACAAATAGAAATTGAGCTGGCAGTCCAAAGCTGAGATCCCTCCCACCAAACCTTGCAGACATTATTTCTTTGTTTGGAATATGCTGACAAGGTTTTCATTAAGCTATATTGGACATGTATAATTTACAGATAAGTAAAAACTGCTTTCTAAATACAGTGATGGAGTGCCTATAAGGGTCATTTGAATTTTCTTTTTGAAAGGATCATTTGGTTTTTCTTTTTCTTTTTTTCTCCAAATATTATTCATGTTAATGTTTAATTTTAAAAATGACTTACGTAATTATGTCATGTTTGACATCCTTATAATCAGTAACTCAATTTAGTACTATCTCTACAAGAACATGTACAGATCTAGAATTCTAATACATACCCTGCTGCTTGAGTAACAATTGTGCTCAAGTGATAGCTGCCTTGCTGTATGAGGCTCTCAAATGCAGAATTTTTGCAGAGGGTTGTTAGAGTTAGGGTAATATGGTCAGGTTTCGGTTAGACTTGATGATCTTTAAGGTCTTTTCCAACCTGAGCAGTTCTAAGATTTTATGGTTCTGTGATTTTAAAATATTCTTATATCATCTGCAGCAAAGCTTGCATGTTTGTACATCTGGGAATACCTACACAAGCTTCTCTAGAGACTTGTGTTCATTTCACTTCAGTTTCACCCAGATGAACAGCAGCCCTCTCCAGCTGAAGACATAATGCTTGAGCTAATATAATGGGTCCTGCTGAGTGTATGGGGCAACATTAATAAAGCTACGTTGCCTTGTAGCACCACTTGCTTGTGCCCATCTGTGCTAAGAGCTTGGAGCTGAGACAAAGCTGAATCATAGAATAGAATCATTAAGTTTGGAGAAGACCACTAAGATCATCTAGTCCTACTCTTGAATCATGACTTGCATGCCTACAACACCAACACAGGACTGCTTGTGAAATTCTCCTACATTAATAAGATTAATATATTTAATTGTCAGTTCAAATAATACTGGAGAACAAATCTGAAAAAAAAAAGTTGTGACTCTTATTCAAAACATGTAAATTGGAAGGTAGGGTGAAACAAGGATTAAAAACTTTAACGTAGTCAGAATTTCTAGATTTTATTAGAGAATTTACTCTAGACTCTATGTTTTTTTTTTTGAACTGCAGTATTTCACCTCTGAGAAAATATTTAAATGCTGTAAAATCTTTCTATAATATACTAAAGCACTTTTAGTTAGAGAATTAGAGTTAATGTACTAAACTGCAAATAATGTATTTTATCTTTATATATCTGTGATTCCCATCTACAAGAGGGTTTGTAAGGAGGATCCAGGGAAGTACAGGTCTGTCAGTCTAAGCCCAGTGCCAGGGAAGGTTATGGAACAGATCATCTTGAGTGAGATCACACAACGTGTGCAGGATAACCAGTGGATCAGGCTAAGACAGCATGAGTTCATGAAAGGCAGATCCTGCTTGACGAACTTGACCTGCTACAATGATCGAGTGACCCACCAGTGGATGAGGGAAAGGCTGGTGATGTAGCCTACCTAGACTTCAGCAAAGCTGGACACTGTCTCACACAGTATTCTCCTAGAGAAGCTGGCAGTCTGTGGCTTAGACAGGTACACTCTTTGCTGGGTAAAGAACTGTCTGGAGAGCCAGGCCCAGAGAGTAGTGCTGAATGGAGTTAAATCATGTGTGGTGATCCCTGGAGGCCGCAACTGGGGCCTGTCCAGTTCAATATTGCTATCGATGACCTGGTCGAGGGGATTGAGTGCGCCCTCAGTAAGTTAGCAGATTACATCAAGCTGGGTGGAAGCGTCAACGTGCCTGGGGGTAGGAAGGCTCTGCAAAGGTTTCTGGATGTGCTACTAAGGGGCATGGTTTAGAAGGGAAATATTGGTGGTGGGTGGGTGGTTGGACTAGATGATCGTGGAGGTCTTTTCCAACCTTAAAGATGCCATGATTCTGTGATAATAGTCTAATAATATAAGTAGTTTGCATTTTGAAAATGGTAGCAGAAGCGGATATTAGATGATTTCTTCTGTTGCATTGCAATATTAAGAGGAATGTGCAGAGTTCCAGCTTTAACTTGATACAACTGCACTTTACACGTATGCACTGTGAGGAATAAAATAGTTATATACATTTATTCTCATGATCCGACTGACTACATAACTCGTGATGAAACATCTTTTCTTAGTTTCTATATCAATGCATCCTGTGTTGTGTTGTATTTAATCCATGTGAGACAACATTTGAACAGAAAAACAAGTATATTTGGGTCTAAATTTTCCATTAAATGTAGACATCTCAAAAACCAGCTGAGTATCTGCTCTTGGTATAGTTAATGAATAAAAGAGAGTCTCAGCATGAGATTCACAGGAAGGCAGTTTGTTACAGAAAATCAGGAAGAGGTATTAAATCTTTCCCCTGTTGGGTTGTTGAGACATAATAATCTCTTCAATCTCTTAGATATTCTTTTACCTCCCAGGAGAGTACCCTTGCTATTTGCCTAACTGGATAATCTTTATCTCTTGATGTTGGACTATTTGAAAGAAAGAATTCAAGATTTACTGAACTGAGGGCTCAAAAATGAAAACATGTATGGTTTGGTACTTTTAAGATATCGGATGGGGCAAGAATTATTGCTCCTGGTCCTTAGTTAAAGGATTATTTCTGTACTTTTTCTGATAAATGTCTCTATAAAAACGCACTAAATCCTGTTGCGTGATTCAGAACAGGCTGTTTCACCAAACTGCAAGTCTGGAGGATCACTCTGTCTCTTTATTAGAAATGCCTAATCCATTACACGACATGACACTGTTTCTGCAACGCTGCTCTGTAACGTAGCGTAATTGCCCTATAACGTAATGAATATACATTACATACCCACTGAGTTAAGAAAAATCATGAATTAAATTACCAAATGAAAATATGTCTCTAAAACAAAATTCTGCCCTTTACATTACATTTTAATTAATTTATAGGTAAATTTTACTTCAGATCATTTTCAATTTAATTTAGATCATTTCAGATAGATCGTATGGTTAGGTTAAAGTTGAACTTGCTGGTCTTTAAGGTTTTTTTCCAAGCTGAGCAATTCTATACTATGTATTTTCTGTTTTCTGTTTCTAATTAACATGTAGTAGTTTGTTATTTATTAATCTGTTTCACATATTACATCAACTGAATTCACTAGTTTTTCAAATTCTTATAATTCACAATCTTCAGATGTTTTTCATTGCTATGCCATAAAACAGCTTTCCTTTTGCATGCTTTAAACTGAAAGCAGATCACTTTCTTTTGTAGGATCTGCAGCTGATCTTTGCAAAATGGCTATGGTTGAGATTTTTACCTCTGTTGTGGTTTCTCCAACTTTAACAGCCAGGTTAGTAATGAATGACTGCAAAAGTGTTTAATTTTGAAACAAAAACAGTGTTGAATGGGTCTCTAGCATTTTAGGTAGCTGTAGAAATATACTGTATGCCTCTGTATCTTTTAACAGGCAAGGGCTTGTGGGAGATGCTTTTATACAACCAGAAGTTGTATCTTTGTGCTTGAACAGTTGGACATATAAACCTATTCCAAGGCAATGCAGTGCCCAGGGCCAGTTGAAGCTCAGTCAGATCTAGTTCAGTGGTAGTTCCATGTCTTTGAAATCAAGCCCACTGATCATATCCTTCCTGTATTTTGAGTATATTGTACAATGGCAATTGAACATAGTGTGAGCTAGGAAAAACAGGAATCAGGAAATCAGTGCTCAAACAAAATAAATGAACCTTTTACAGATCCTTTTACAGATGGCTTTCTTTTGCTAAAAAAAAAGCAAAACAAAACAAAAACACAAAGGAAAGAAATAAGTGGCCCTATACTACAAATCTGAAATGGGCAACTGTTCTTTGGTGTACAGACATATAGGCAATGTTGTTTGAAGAGGCCAGAATCAGGCAGCTGTGGCCTGGCTGAATTTTATTTTGGCAAGTGTAACTTTGGGTTAGATAAGTGATAGAGCAGCTGCATTATGGGACAGTCAGCCAACTAGCCAGTCTCTAATGGACACAAGCAGAGATTTTGTAAGAGTAAAAAATACATTCTCTCCTTCTGTACCTAGCTAACACCTGCATCTTTAGGTTCAGTGACCAGCTGTTTATTGTAATGATGAGAAAGCCAAAGGTTTTTGCATTTAATTCCATGTCTGGTAAAGCTTGTGAATGTTTTCTTCTCTCAACAGAAAAGTTTGCTTGAGTTGTCCTCTCTCAAAACTATTTATTTAAAAAATGTAGTGCTATCAAATGGCTAAGGACATAACAGACATGGGGAAGTACAGGTACTTTACAAGTTTTCCTTGTGATGTGAAATCATAGGAAAAGTGCTAGACCAGAAGAATTGCTGCCTATGCTTCTCATTCCTACCATAAATACCGCAGCTGGGAAAGACTAAGATTGCAAGGTCAATTAGAGGAGACAGACTGTTTTAAACTGGGATTTGAACTCCTGCCAGCCATTAACAACTGGATGGCTTTGCTAAAGCAGAACCTTTTAATATTTACAAATGGCTCTTGGCTGTAATATTTATTAGATACTTAGAAGCTAGGCTTGTCAGAAAACCACAGTCAGTGCCTTTGTAAATTCTGTGAACACTCACCTGGTTAGAAAGTGGCTCAGACATTTGAAAGCATCACCATGGTCTTGTCAACAGATTACGGTATTGGAACCTGAAATTTTGTGTTTCCACTCAGTCACTTGTCTGCCAAGTGACATTCAGCTATTATTTATTCAGTGGTCTGTTTCTTGATTTTCTTTTCAGTAAAGTTGGGATAATGATCCTAACATTCTTTGTAAAGCTCTTCGAAAAATAGTGAAGAAAGGAAATGATGCTGTTATTGTAAGAGTAGGAATGCACAGTAGCTATTCCAAAATGAGAAATATAATCAGCCTCCTATTATCACATTGAATCATACTGAAAAAAAAATATACTACTATCTTCTCTTCTATCTCTACCCCCCTTGCAAGGTTTTTTCCCCTCTATTAGAATTTCTAATTTTAGAATAAAGTTTTCACTTTGAGTAACATATCAAAGAGAAATATCATCTACATATACTTTAGAAGAAACTAGGAGTTCCTTATTTAGACTGTGATACAGTATATCCTATAAGGCATAGCCAAGTAGTGGCTGACACCCAATGTTTTGTCTTCCCTACCTTGCAAATTAAAAAAAAAAAAAAAAAAAAAAAAGAATCAAATTGCATTTTAGACAAGGTCTTACAGTTTTTGATGTTAATTTGCAGTTAGGTTTACTGTCTTCATCGTCAACAGTGCTGCATTCACATAAATTGTAATTGTATGTGAGCAAGTTCTGACCCAATAGTACATAGCTTCATTTCTCATGACTAGTAATCATGGTATTTTTCTTTACTCTTTGTCCATGTAACATCGTGTTTGGAAGTCAGTAACCAATTACATTTTCACGAAGCTGAATCAGCGAGGTCCTCGTGAAGGAGCAGTACGTTCCTCTGTGGCTGATCAGTGGCAGTCTCATTTTTCACTTTGTATTGGACATCTTTTAATTCAAATGCCAGCTTAGCAACTCATGCTGTTGTCAATAAAAAAATCAGTCTGTTATCTGAGAATAATTTTACAGAAATGGGTAAAAGAAGCATTACATTCAATACGCAATCAGTATGATAAAAGCTGATACTACTATGGGTTAGCTACTGCCATTGCTGTTGATGTGTTCATTTTGCATGGAACTGATGAATAATCAACATGATTTCTTTAAAATTCTTCCATATTATCTACATATTTGTTGAGATGCTGTTCTGCCGTTTGTGGCCAAGTTGCTTACTGAAAGTGTGCTGCTGACATCAATTATTCAAGTGCTAGCTTTTACCTGCATGATGCAATTCACAGAACCTCCACAGAATGTCTCCTGCAGGCAGATGATAACAAAGGAACTTCTGAAGTCAGATCAAGGCAAATATTAGCAGCTGAAAGAAAGATTTGTGGAATTTATGAGAGTAGAAAAATACTCTGTGAACTTAGATTGACAATTGTAGTTATTTAAAATGTCATTACAGTGGCATATACCTGGGAATGTGAAATGGAGGAAGGATGTTGGCAACTGAAGGAAGAACGGATTGCCTATACCAGTTTTTGTAAAAATTGTCGTTGTATAAGCTGAAGATAGATGCATGCTACCCAAAGACTGTCTGGCACTGTATGAACTGCTCAGAAGCTTTTAGTCATTAAAGATGGTAACATCCTAACAACATGCAAATTAACTTTAACACTTCCAAAGAACTATTGAGTAATATTGCTTGAATCTGGCAACTGGGCTTTCTTATCTGTTTATCATTCCTATAACACTAGATCCTAATGCCTCAAACACACAGCTTTACTTCTCAGTGTGTCCAGAGCCTGGGTAAAACAACAGATTCAGTGACAGGCCAGATACAAACAAATGATTTGAAAAGTATGAGCCACAAAAAAAAAGAGGAAAAGGCACAAACCTATTTTCTTGATCCCAGCTGCTCTTCTTTAGCAGTGGATATTGAAGCTTTTCAAAGTTTTCCTTAATGAACAAACGCTTCAATCGGCATAATGATTTTTTTGAGCTGATGAACTAAAAATGCAGCTTGCTTCCACACATATCACTAAATTAGTGAGAGAGAACACTCACTGTCCCAGGAACAAGCTCTGTGTTATGTGACCTGGAATTTTTTCCGATACAAATCATACGGTAAAACTCAAATAGCTCATTTCCTGGAATTGGTTTTAATTTAGTTACAGTGAAGAAATAAGAGACATATTATAAGGTGTACAGGGATTCCAGCACTAGTACTTTATTAACTGGTTATGCTTTCATACAAAAGATTCAAACGAAAGGGCATAGCAATAAAAGATTTTCTTGACTATATCATAGTGAGCTTCATTCTGTGAGCTACTTAATGCTGCTGCTGTGTAGAATGGTTTTCTTTAGCTCTGAGTACACAATTGTTGTCCTTCCACTTATTTTTTAAGGAATTAAAGAATTAATTTTACCCATGTTTCTTCTGTAGGAGTTATCCAAGATTTCCAACTAAATACTTACTGGTCTTGTTCTCTGCCCCATTATTACCTTGTATGTTCTGCTCTGAATATTAATTCCTGCAAGAGAATCATCCTTAGCCTAGTACCGGAGAAGCAGAATCACAGGGAAAAGATAGAAGTTTTTAATTATGCTCGAGGAGAATGAGGTTTTTGTTTCTCAGTCATATGCTTTTGTTTCAGTAGCAGAAGGAAACATCCTACATCATGTGGTTGTTGTAGAAATTATTGGGAGCTCCCCATAGCTGCTGTCCCCATCCAGTACGTAGCTCTTCGCTTCCCAAGTGGCCGTTTTGTATTTCTAGTTGTGCTGTGACCTAGCAAATTCATTGCTTCCCTCAATATTTCACAGAAGTACCTTGCATGTATGCACAAGATGGTGAGCAATTACCTGAACACCTTATGCAGAGTGAGCCAGAAAAAGTAAAAATGATTTATTCTTTATAGAAAAAGCTAACTATATTTAATATGCTTAAATATCATAGGTAAAAAGGACATTTATGATGCAGCAGACACTTAAATGTACCTTTTTTGTGGGTCATTAAACGCAAATAAATACTTCTAGCTTATAAAAACCTTTTGTAGGTCACCTTTTTGATAGGTATGTTTTGAAACACTTTGGTACACGTGAAAATTCTATTCTCTTAATTAACCATCTGTTCAGCTTCCTGCTCTTCTTGATGTAACTGCTGAGAAATTTCACAAGTTCGCTGAATTTTTGTAGTCAAAATGTTAGAATGTCAACATGTCTTGGTCTTCAGTAGGAAAATACTGAAAGAGAAGTAATATAAAGTAACTTCAAGTAACACCTATGCAAGCATGATATATTTTGAGCTACATCTTTTATATTACTACGTTAGAAATCCTCATATATGCAGCTTCATGAGAAACTTGAAAAGTCTGCAAAATGTCACAAAATTATCTCAACTTGTTCCTTATCTACATGACAATTTAATAGGAATTCTTTCCAGTTGAACCCATGTACATTTATGGGGAAACTGTGCAGCTATTAAATAGCGAGTAGTATTTGTAGTATATAAAAAAATAAAAAATATTTAGTGCACAGGACACAAAGATTTTAAGAATTGAATCCAGCATTTATCTGGTCCGTTATCACTGAGTGTGGCCAGTAGCAGGTGCTTCAGAAGGAAGGAGCAAGATTTGTTACTAGGAATAATCTATCTGCAAATTCTCATCTTTCTGTGATTGTGGGGGATGCCTATAGTCTGAAATAAAAGATTTAAAAGTGTTCTCCCAAAGTCATTGGATTTCGTCGATCTAAACGTTCTTGAAAACATGGAAGTGTTTATTACATCAGCGGCCTTTTTATCTTTCTTTTCTTTTTAGTCTTTTAAACATTTTTTTCTAACCACATTTTTTGTTCTTTTTTGAGTTACTTTTTAATTAAATAAGACCTTTTAACCATGTAGTAATGACTATTTTATAGTCTTCCATTATGCAGTTAGGAATTTCAAATTCAAAAGGAAAAAATGCAATTTTATGACTTGAATGATTATTTTGTTTATTAAAAAGGACAGAATGACAGACAAAGCTAGTAATCTATGGAAAATAGAATCTGTACTGCTGTTTCAGAACATGGTATGAAGTTCAATGTTCAGGGAAATAGTGTTTTATAAGAAAACTCTGGCTAGAAAAGGGCTGATTCTTTTCAAGTATTTCTACACTTACGTGGTGCTGCTAAGTGATCATTAATGCCATTTCTGAAGTAGTGTATTTTTAGGAACTTCGAACATTTAGCTTTTTACATTTTTACTCTACCTATATAAAATCTTAATTATTACCATTGTATTATGTTCTTAAGTAAAGCTTTATGGAACTTCGTAAAAATTTAGCTAGATTTTTGCTGAGACAAAAAGCTATGATAAATTTCAAATAAATTCTCTTTTTTGTCCCTTCTTCAAAGAAAATTCTTTGGTTTTAGGAAATCTGTTCTTCAGTTGCAAATGGGGGATCCCCAGTTGATCCCCAAACTAACATAACTGTGTTGGGTTTTAAGTGGTCTGGAAGTGGCTTGTGATGGGTCCAGGTTGCCTGCTTCCAAATTATGGAGTAAATTAACCTACAGTTAGTCTGTAGGAATTCATTGGTTCATTATTTTTTTGTATTATCTTCATTTAGACCAGCCTGGAAAGCTGGACAATATTATGTTTTGAATTTGTTGTTAGCAGCAGAAAGGATTCTCCTCGTAATACAAAAACGTATAACAAAATTGTACACAGGACTATTCTGTGTCTGATTTTAGGTAGGGCATGGTAGCCCTACAAAGTCAGTGTTTAGAGATGGAGTTTTCCAGATGTTGGTTCAGAACAAGTGAGAGCCTACCTTAGTCCTTTGACCATAGAATGAGCATTAATATAATTAGTTTGAGCATATCTTGACCTGAAACAGAGCTTCTAACTGTTAGAAAACACCTTCCAAGGAAGACTGCTAGGAAAATCATGTCTTTTTTTTTTTTTTTTTACCACTGACATCTTCTACAGGATATTCCTACAGTAGCATCTGCAGCATGTCACACCACAGAAGTCTTGTTTGCAGTTTGGAGAAAGTGTTTCCTTTAATGGCGAACAAATACAGTTGCTCACAGGTGATATAAGAGCTGTTCTGCTGAATTCAGTTCAGTAGCACACTCATTTCTAGACAACAGATTTTAGGTAGTCCTGGAAAAACTTGCCTCTTTAGAGAGGCCCAGATCTGGAATATATTGCCTTGCAGTAACTAACAAAATCCTCATCTATTCTTATATTAGAAAAAAATCTGACATGATATTATGAAAAAATAAACAGTAAGGAGGCCTCATCAGTAGAAGCTTATGAAAAAAATCTCTTGATAGTTGTTTGTTTTGCCCTATATCAGATCAATTATATGGTCATAATATAGTAATGATAACTATGTGGATCCATTGAAGATCCAAGTTTAGTGTAATCCAGTTTACTTCACATTTTAACAAGCAATAATGGGAGGAGCTTTCTATTTCAATATTCCTTCAAAGTGGTGATCACTTTATTAAGCTGTTAAACAGGAGTGTAAGTTTTGAAAAAACTTTTTACTTAAGCTACATGAAAGATGTCTGTAATATTGGAATAGTAAAAGGTGTGAATTTTGAATGGAAATATTACTATGATTTTTCATTCATCTGTACTGAAGTCAAATAGGATAATGTCACTGCTTTAAGAAACCCAAAACCAGTTTTAGCTCTAGCATGGAGATGAGGTGATCTGTTAATCCAGTGCTGAGTGTTTTTGAAAATCTTCTTCCTCCATTTCTAAAATCTGACAAATTGATGATAAAATATTTGATCTATATTGTAAATTCTTCAAAGAAAGGACAGTTCCTTACTAAATATTTAGAAAATTGGGCTCTAATTCTGACTGACGCCATGAGTCACTACTCTGATACAAACAGTAACTGGTCTGTCACATTTTTATTTCACTGGCTTCATCAATGCATTCATTTTCACTTATTCCATTGATTCAAAGTATATTTGGAGTTTTTAACATTCACAGTTCTTTCTGATTTATATCTTTTTATATGTCACTCCAATGATTATGAAGAATCTCTTGCTTTAATTAATTTACTTACACTGGAAATCATAGCTTTTCATGTAAACTCTATTCTCTTGCTATGGATGATCCTGGTTTTTTCATCTGTTTCTTATTGCATCCCGTGTCCCAGTTTCCTATTAGAAATATGTTAATCTGTTTCACTCTGCTTTTGACTGAGGTGTAAGTGACTAATAATTGAAGACCTATTATTAGAGCTCACCACACTGGTACTCAATGTCACATTGTAATTTAAAGCAGTGTGAAACTATCTTAGGATATTTTCCTGAAAGATGTGAAAGTTATAACTTCTAACCATACCATTATTTCAGCCATTTCTAAAGAATGAATAACTGCTAGGTATTAAAAAAGTCTGTAGCATTTAATTTAAATGTTATATATGAAATGCAAAGAAATTCATAAATAGATGTTACAGTTTCATGACTTACACTGCCAGCTGTAAGTATTAAAAAAGTAATGAAATAAACCTAATAGGAGTGCAGCTTAATCAGATGGGCAATATTTTTCCTTTCTAGGTAAGAACTGCATGAAAGATTATACGTGCTAGACTGTATCTATTCTTCCTCAGATGTGATTCAGTCAAACACATATATTTTTTCCACTGTGATCTTATTTTTGCACGCAGACCAATAATTTAGGATTTATCCCAGTATGCGCTGAACAATTAAGACACAGTCCATATGCAGGAGGCCTATTGATGTAGAACTAATATTGACAAAGAAAAAAACAAAGCATCAGTAGAACTTTATTACAAAACAGCTCTAACTGAAGAGCTCAGGTGCATGTTGTTGCATGGGTTTTAAGATGTTGCTGCTATCAGTTGTACATTCTGTTCTTACGAAGACAACTGTCCTGGTAACAGAGGCAACAAATCAGGTTGAGTATCTGAACCTGCATTTTTGTTCTTCAACCCACAGAATGAGGAGCCTTAATTTGCTTTTAAGTGAAAGGAGTATTTCCTGAGAAAGACTCCAGTCACTGGCCAATCCTAGACTAGGAGTTACTACTGCGTACCAGTGAGCCAAGTCCTCTTGCTGTTGACCTAATTTGGATTACTACAACAGCATATTTGCAACCCCATTTATTACAGCTCAGTTTGGGGAAAACAAGCTATATTAACAAAGCAAAACCTGTCTCTCTAATTTCTTGCAGTTTTTCTGCAATTTACAACAGTTTTAAATAGTACCTGTCACATCATCAAATCCCTGACAGGCATTTACAAGTTAGCTAGCAGTTTCGATTTGAGACCATGGCCTTTATGCTTTCAGAATATGTCGAATGGCAGTCCTTTTAACTCCATTGATGAAGTCTTTCACTTTCTTAGGACTTTTCTTAGGACTGTATGCGTGGTTTACATGAAAATTGATACGAGTGAAAAGTACTATTAGAAATTTCATGCATATTCTGTCTGACATCTCTGAATTTTTTCAGATTAATTGCTCAGATTCATGATGAGTTGTTGTTTGAAGTAGAAGATTCCCAAATCCAGGAATTTTCAGGTAAATATAATCTCTTTCTTTCTCCCTCCCCATTTCCCAATAGACTGTCATTTTTTTTGAATAACATAGAATACAGTCGCTCACTTAAAAGGATCATCTAGTCCAACTGTCCAGATGATTAAGAATTGATGTAACAGGAAGTTTTGATTCATTGATTCTCATGATTAAGAAAATAAATGCTATGCAGGTTTTTCTGAACGTTTTCCCTCACTGGTTCTTATGTCGATAAAATGTGATATGCTCTTTATCTAGAGTTTGTTAAATTGCTTATTTGTACTTAATTTACTTACCAAGGTTTCCTCAGTTAGTACAAGAATCCCACAAGGAATAATATTTTCACCAAAGTCTTCAAGGGATGTAGAAGGAAACAAACCAGATTAAGATGAATGCCCTGGAAAATAACTTCCTAAATACATATAGTTGGGTTCTGTTACATAAAGAAGTGTAAAACTCTTAATGTAAGAATGCAAGGTACTGTAATTTTAAGTTAATGTACTGTGCTTTTGTTTTTGTTTTTTAATATATTAAGAGAACTTTATGATGGATCTCTCAAAACTGATTGTTAGCAGAAGTTCCTGCCTACACTTTTATATCTCATTCGGCTTCTTACAGATGTTATTTCATAAGCTAGAGTTTGTCCCTACATCTGGTAAAAATTTATCTAGCAAATGACAGCAAAGACAAGGCTGTCAGGTCTTTTCTCCAGTAAGTACTGGAGACATTACTGCAAGTGCTGAATGTTAATTCACATGTTTAGGTCTAGTCTGAAGTTGAAAAATGACTTTGGCTAAAACAAGTACTGTAAGATCACAAATATTTAAGGCTAACTGATGCAAGAAATGTATTGCATTATAACCAAATAGGCAGACAAGGGGTGCGTCTGAATTAGGATTTAACTTCCAGTCAGGAGTAGGAGTGTGAAGCAGATCTCCCTGTTGTCCCCAGTCCATTATGTGAATAGTTTTGGCTTATTTGCAGTCTGAGAATAGTTGAACCAGATTCCTATTAGATGAAACTAAATAGGAAGACTCTTTTTTCCCAAACTTTTCCAATTAGTTCAGGAGTTGTTTAACTGAGGTAACAAATTGCATATGCAAGTTTTAAAGAGGAGTGTCAAAAGGATATGGGCTTCTAAATCACTTCAGTGCTTTGAAACCCAGATATGAATTTCATCCCATTACCTCTTCTCCTTGTCTTCTTATTTTTATTTGCTGATATTCTTTAGCTGTTGGCTTCATCTTTCCTTATCTAAAGAGTCTTTTTGTCCATTCAGAAACCTTAAATTATAGAATCTGCTGACTTGCAGAACCCTGCCTGAGCATTAATGACCCAGAGAGAAATCTCAGTTGTACAATCACTAAGCTCAGTAAAGCTAAGGAGCAGTGTGCAATGGATTTAATTGAGTACAGCTCAGTGCTGTATTATTCTCCTGCATTTACTGTGATCCAAGAAAGAACTGGCCTAGTATTCAAAGTATTTGCATTCTGATTCCAGTCATGCTTTTGATCTACTTTTTAAGGAAAGCAACGGCAAACATATGTCTTAGTTTTTGCGGAAAGGATATGAAATCTTAAGGCACTTCTAAGATTTATAAATGAAGAACATAAAGGCAAATCATATTATTTCAATTAAATGATAATGCAGAACACAAGCTTTTTCAGGAGCATTTCCCCTATGGAACTGTCTTTTATACTGCTTTATAACAAGAACATGTCTATTTGTTTCTGAGACTCTCCTGAGCAGAAGCTGTGTTGCCACAAGTCAATCATACTGCCAGTGCTTTCTCTATGCCTGCTTAGGACTTCATAAGGCCACAGTAAGATTTTTCAGTACTATTCAGTATTATTATGTCCAACTGACGATCTTGAATCTTTTTAATTCTATAAGCAAGCAGCAAGCAAGCAACAAGAAGATATTCTTTTTCTCTAACATCATTTTTTTGCACAAAATTCTACATGTAAGTTTACCAGCTCTTACCTGTACGTTGGAAGATACTTTCCCCAGACAGATTCTACTACTCACAGTTGCATAGCAGGTCAAAATGCCATCTGTTTATAATAAGTGTCCAAACCTTGACATACATTGAAATACAGTAAAGCACATACTAGTCTGAGTTAGCTTGTTTTCAAAATAGTTACAGTATATTATCTAACTCAATTCTCTATTTAGGGCAAGAAAAAAATATCAGAAAGATATATATATTTTTAATAATCTTCACTTTCTATTGGAGGATGCCTGGAAAGATGAATTCTAAACATTTGGTGGAAATTTGCTTTTGACAGAAGACTGTCACCTTTACCATCAATAATATGCCTGATTTCTAGGCAGCCTGTCTGTCTGGCATCCTCACCTCCTGAGCTCTCAAGCAACCCAAGAAGCAGAAAAGGAGATGGTATTTTGGGAACAGCAAAAAATGGGTTCTTGCATCTGAGAGGGCTCGGCATCTCCAAGATCTGAAATCTATGCAATCAGGTACATAGACTGTGCCCAAATCAGACTGTGAGTCTTCATAGGAATTGCAGAAAAGTGTCCAGGAATTGAAGAACCCAATTTTTCATTTTGTGGTGATGTATCCATTGCAGCCTGTCTTATATTTGGCACATATTAATTACACCCTTTTATTTTTTTCTTCTCATACTTTACCGAGTATAAAAAAATTCAACTCAAATACTTAAAATGTAAGAATACCAAAAGACCAAGTCTGAGAAAAAAAATAAACTAAGGCTATTTATTTTTATACTAAGATCAGTTAAGATTACTGTTATGTAGAAACAAAAGCTTAAAAAAAAATCTGTCAGCAGAAAATTGTGGTTCTTTGAATTTCCGTGAAGTTTCCTTTTATTCTACTACAGTTTCCAAATTAATGAGTGTTGAGGCAGCTGCATAAAAAAGCGTGCATCTTCAAATGTGATTCAAGTAACAGAACAGAAGAATGCGCTAGTCATTGTAGGGTAGTGGCATTTTGTGTTCTCTGAGCTGCCTTCTTCTAACTGGAGGACACTGATACTTAAAACAGAGATGCCTCCAGACAGCCTTTAATCTGTAGAAATCCTTATTCCTCAGATCATGTGTCTAATCAGCTTCGGCTTGTTTCTGGAGTCATAATTTCATAGGTGAATGAGCTTGAAAAATGTCTTCAGTTTGATAGGGACAAACAAGCTTTTGTTCCACACCATTGCCTTTTCTTTGCTCCTATTCACAACTCTTTGAATAAGCACATTTATTCCAGCCAGTATCAAGAAAATCTAATATGGGTTACAATTTCAGCTCATCTATGATGCCTTTACTTTGCTGTCATCAATTCCGGGGGACTAAAGATGAAATATGTAATTTTTTTAACATGACATACAAAACATTCCAGAATGAGCATAATCAACAAATCTCATAATTGCTGACTGTGGGTTTTGAGAGGGAAGTTGCAAAGGCTGGGAGAACAGCATTTAACAGATGCTACTGCAGTATATGGCTGACTGCAAAGGAACATTTTAAAATTAATAATTAATGTGCCCTAGATAGAGCAGAGGTGCATGACAGAACATGAATAATCGTTCTCCGAAAAGCTTCCAATCTAAATTTTAGAAAAGAAACCAAAAAGAAACCAACAAAAACAACGACAACAACAAAAAAGAATGATAGAGACATAGAGACAGATCTATTTAAACCTTTGTTGTTATTCTGTAATGTATATGAGATAAAGAACATAAGTTTGCCTATGCCTGGACTGTTTATTTTGAGCACTTAAGAGGAGAGTTTTCCAGGAGATCAGAGAGAGGGAGAATCAGACATTATATACATAGGACTAAAGGGGACCTCTCATGCAATTATATACCACCATACCATATGGTCTCTTTTATAAATGATCATCTCCATATGAAAAATTACTCCCACTGGGAGACTGTTCTAAATTTTGGAGAGATAAAATTCTGGAACTTTTGATTTCCAGCCTAAATGTACTTAGCCAGTTTATCTAGTTATTTTCATGCAAAAACTGTCAATTAATTTAAATGCTTCCTTCTTCACAGACTACTGAACAGGAACGGTAATCTACTTGCTTTTTCTTGATATTTCTATTACTGTTTTATATATATATATATATATATATAATATATAATATATATACACAATATAATATATATATTATATATATATATAATATATATATATATAATTAAAAACCTGTTGTAAAATAAATGTAGACAAATCTTCCAAAGATATGATTTCAAAAGGCTGAAATGCAGGCAAAACCTCCTTGGATTGTTTGAAGTGAATGGTTTTACCATGCTACCCTTTAAATTCTGGGAAGGAAAAGAGAAGTCAGTTTGACATGAGAAATAAAATAGGGAGTCAAACCAGAAAAACAAAGAAAAAAGTCGAGCAAACCCACGGAGAGGTTTTTAATGGGTTGTCACGGAGAATGAGGAACCATTAGGTTCGCTCACTGATGTGGCCATTTTAATCTCTGCTTTTTAAAATTAAAAGCAGTTAAGGATCCAGCAGAATTCTGATCATGCCAGATGCCTTAAAGCAAGAACTGTGTGAACCAACAGAGAAAGATTTCGCAATCATCACTGTCACTGTGAAACCCCTTTCGGGGATAACAGTTATATGGGAGAAAATGCGTCAAATTTAGAGGGGAAATGGATCTAATTCAGTGCACGTGCAGATGCTCACATTTCTCAGCCCATGAATCAGCAGTGCTGACTCATGCTCCCTCTTCTGTTGTCCATTGGAACTCCTTTTGTCTAAAAGACCTATTCCTCCCATTGCCTTGGTGATCTGTTGCTCTTTATTTATCTAACGGCACCAAAGGCTGAGCGTGCCCTTAGCTTTTTCGTAAGTGCTTTGGTGGAATATTACAGAGCTGAGTGAAGCTGTACAAATGTGGAATCCAGAGGGGATGCTCTCACTAAAGCTTTGTACAGTTGTACCTATAAAAAATTACTTACCCATGGATTGCTTGGCAATCCGCTTAGCCTTCTAAAGGCATGTCACCTTGTCAGTGTCCCGATGTCTGCTGCATTGCTGATCTCCCAGAGCTGGCAGCTTGTTTAAATTCAGACTGGGCTTCTCAAGACAGTCCAACACTCCTTTATTAATAGGCATCTTGACTTGGAATGAATTTTAAGTAGATAATTATTTAGACCAACACTTCCCTATGCTGTCGCAATTAGTGTTAGACATGTTTGTTTCTGCACTCCAAACACAATGCTGTCCTCAACAGAACCGAAAGCTACCTCAAATCCAGCATGAAGCAAATATGAGGGCTGCTCCAAAAGTAATGCCTCTTATTTTGTGAAGTTGGCCCACATTGTCAGAGGTAGATGTTGGTGCTATGACAGCAGAAGCTGAACCTTCTTACCAATATTGTTACATTCTGTTGCCATATGACAGCAGCAGGGCAGTCAGACAAAATGGTATCTGGCCTGGACATGTGTAAGAAGCAAAGGTATGGAATTGAATTTCTCCATGTGGAAAAAATGGCACCCACTGACATTAATCTATGTTTACTGAACGTTTATGGAGACCAAACAGTGAATGTGAGCACGGTGAAGCAGTGGGTGATGTGTTTCATCAGTGGTGACAGGGACAGTGGGTCACTTTTGTTTGCGCAGGTATTTACAAGAGCATCATGCAGGCTCTTCTTCATCACTGGTGAAAATGCATAGATAATGGTGGTGCCTGTGTTGAAAAAAAGTGTTTTGTAGCTTAGAATTTGTTCTATCAAACAGTCTCATTGTTCTCTTTCCAATCATTTCCATGGAAACAAAAAGGAGGTGTTACTTTCAGAGCGACCCATGTACACAGGTGTTATCATGTGCCAACATATTTCAACATAAGTCTTATTTTTCTCATCTAAGGAACTTCAGCCACTGATCTTATAAACTTCTGCATAACTTGGACTTCATGGAAAATCTTATGACAGCTCATTAACACGCAAGTGTGAGTGAGCCAGCGTAGTCTAAGCACCCCACTGGTGCTCAGTCAGAAGATAGTTATTTTTTTCATTATTATCATATCAGCCTCAGTGTCACAAATGTGACATAAAACACTGCGTACTATTCTTCAGTGCTGGCATAATTAGAAAAGGTTTTGGCAGCAGCCAGAAAGACAACAACCATATGCTGCTTCTTGGAGTTCTTGTTCCTTCTTTGCACCTAACCTCAGCTCCTAAAGAGCCATGATGTGCATCAAGGAATAACTTCAAAGAATATTTCTCAGTAATCATGTGGTTTTCAGCCTAGTAGTTATCACCATATACTGCACAATCTGTTGTTTCTCAGTTTCATGAGGCACATGCTGACATGTAATCAGCTGTCCTGTCAGAGGAGTGGTGGTTACTCAATGACTTCCTCTCTGGGGCTGCCCAGTACTCCTTTTTCACTTTCAGTAGCCAAAAGTTGCCTCCTTTTTAAAGCCATTTATCCACTGAAATTTTATTGGAACCATATTTTGTTGCAGCAGAAATCTTTCTCAAACAACACAGTAATTGGTAGGACCAAGGATGACAAATCTGGTCCCAAATGATTGATTTGAAATTATTACAGAAGCATTTTTCACATTAATGGTGAGCATAGTGTTGTGACATGGTGGGTTAAGTTACGTAAATCATACTGCAGTTCAATTGGTTTGAAAATCTTGAAAAATTTAAATGTTTTTTTTCTTTCTTTCTCTCTTTTCCTTTTTTTTTTTTTTTTTTTTAAATAAATGGAGGTATTTTACAAGAGAAAGAAACCATACTTTTTTTTTTTTTTTTAAATACAATAATTCCATCCTGGAACATAAAGCTGTAGATTTTCAACTTCTTTGTCCTTACAGCACTGGTGAAAAGAACAATGGAATCCCTTCAGCAAACCACAGCCTTGGAAGTGCCACTGAAGGTAGGAACAATTCTGAATTTCCACTGCTATCTCAAGGATATGTAGTTTTCTATGTTGTTGTCATTATATTAAGAATCTAGAAACAACCACTTTGACTTTCACTTCAACAGTTTCACGTTCAGACTTGCAGGTAATAGCTTTTTGGAATTACCATAAAAAAAATCTAAAGGAAAAATAATTGAAAGAAACTCAACCTCTATTTTGGAAAGCATGACCGTAGTGCACTGTTTGTCTTAGCTATACAGCACAGTAATTTCAAAACCCATTTCATTTATTGCCATGGAATTTCTGATGAGTGTGGTAGAATGAGAAATAATGCCTTAATAAGCATTCTGAAAAGTGCATTCATAACAATATTGCAAAAGATCTTCAGTAATTTTCATTTAGAAAACTGTGATCTTTTCAGCATTTCTGAGTGGGTGCCTAACATACAAAAATCACCCGTTCCAGTTTCAAATATGGGCCATTTTCTATTTGAACTGCATCTGTAACAGTAGTACTCTGAGGAGTAGATAGATAAACAGCTACTATCTCCATTTCCATTGTATCTAATTGTAATTCTTACATAATGTACCTATCTTTTTCTCTCTACAAGGTTGATGCCCTTTGCTTCTAGTTCACTGCTCAGCTGTTGTTGATAAGGCATTTCTGTCTCTGGAATCCCTAAACTAAGAGAGTAATTAATTGCCCAAGGGTTTGCTTTTACCTGAGAAACTGAATGCTTGGTGTTGCCAGATAACTCATTCTCCAGTATACCTGAATGAGATCTGGGGACAGCAGCAGATTTTTTTCTGGTTATTTCATAAATACTTACAACATACAGGCTTGTATTAACAGGAATCGTTGAAAAAGAAAACTACTAGATAAATTTTAGCTTATATTCTTACCTCCAGGTCTTCTATTTCAGCATTTGTGAAGCTGGCCTTCCCTTGAGATCTTATGGTTACATATTTCTGGCCCCCAGTGGAGACTCATTAAAATAAGTGTGGCATTACTAATAATATATAAGGCAAATAGCAACACTGCAGTCCTTCCTTGATAGTTCTGGGATTCCCTTTTTCAAGGACACTGTCAAAGACAACTTTGTTCATATTTTGCCTGAGAAAGTCATTGATATGAAATAAAATATGAACAATAGGTTTGTAATAAAGACAGATGTTTGCACACAATAAGAATGCTCACAGTTACACAGCCTAAATACCAGCTTAATGTTACCTATTGCAGACTAACCACTGGCAGAAGTTCATCAAACTACAGCACATAGCATGGTTCCTTTCTTATACTAGAAGTGTCTTAGCACACACTGACAAATGCACCTAGGTGCATTAGCAAATGGATTCTATATGCCACTCCAATGAGAAGAGTGATTCTCTTTTAAATGGCAACTGCATTTTAATAGGCAAAAAAGAAACAGTACTGGACAATAAGTAGTTGTCTGGGGTTTGGATATTTTTATAAGCAGTAGAAGTATTTGGAGATGCATGTTTCCTTACCTTGTCTTGGTCTCCTTTTCCCGAGTGAATTACCGTAGAAGTCATGACACATTTTTACTCTTACTGCATGTTAGGCTACACACATCATGAAGACACTTCATCTTCCTCTGAAACATCCGAAATGGATCAATGGAGAGACCACATACAAACCATAAAGTGTAAACAGTTTGATCTTTGTGAAGAATTTGAGACTGATCTTTTTTCAAAGAGTCTGTATTTTTGTTCACATTATCTTTCTGTATAGTAAATACATATTTTAGGATTAGAGATGTTGAAGATGAAAAGATTTTTGTCAAATGCTCCTGATTTCCTTCAGCACGTTTGCCTCGACTAAGTACATATTATGTGCTATATTAATATGAATGCTATCTTTTAATATGGAAGAAAGATATCATTAAAGTAGAGCACACATGTCATCGTAATAGGGAGAGATTTCTTCTTCTTCTTTGAGGAAAAGAATTCTTTACCTTTGAAGTAGCTTCTTTTCCAAAATGTAGTCCTTGCTAATGAGGCAGCTTTCATGTCAAAATATCTCCTGTACTACACCAGTAACTGCAAAACAAACTGAAAAAGAGCCAAGGCAACAACAAATATACCTCAGGTCTGTGAAAGTGGATGATTTTTAAAAAAGCAGTATCTTAATCAAAACTGTAATTGCAATAAAGTATTACTAGACGTGAAGAACATTTCACATAGGTAGGTGAGTAATCTAGAGCATTATCCATATCCAAAAGGAAAAGCAAAAATAGTAATCTTGCTGTAAGTGATGTGTTTGTTTAATTTTTTTGTTGTTGTTGACAGGTTCCCTTGAAAGTGCTTCTTACCACTGGGAAATCATGGGGGTGTATGACAGAATTGCAGGAGATGTAAAACAGTCATCGGGGATGTTATTCAGTACCCGTACACCTCATTGGCCTGTGCTGATTCCTCACTGAATCACTAGGCAACAGCGCTGCTGGATCTTTCATAAGCACCTAATACTCTGCATGTGAATTTTTTTACTTCATTTTGTCTGTAGCCCTAGGCAACAGCAGTGAGATAAAACTGGATTTTACCAGTTCATTGTGTTTCCTTTAGCCAAGGTAACCAGCAGGGAGCTGCTTTTGTTCAGAGCTAAACTGCTACATGCAAGAAATGAAGCAAGACAACATTAACCCTTTGGGAACATGACAAATATATTTGAGTTAAATGCATGTTTAGATTATAATATTTAATATTTGGCGAAGTGCTTTTGTAAAAATACATATAATCTAGAATTAGAAAGACACTATTTGAAGCTGCTTAGCTGTTGCATTCAGCTTATTCTATAATTTGTAAGTAAATGGCAGCTGCTGAATGTCTTTTTTACAAAGACTTAGAAAAGAGTTCCTTGTAAGTGAAGAGTTTTCACTTTACTTTGTATTTAGGATTTTAGAGTAAAACGAGTAAATGAAAACTGCATTAGATGTATTAAAAAATAGCCAGATTGTAGTCAGTTCTATTAATTTCAAACTCAGATTGTACACTGTAGCTTTAGCATACTTTAGAGGAAGTATTTTAGTTTTCCCTGATTTATTATTTTTATTATTGATATAATACTAAATACAGTTTAGATAAATGTTGAGATTCAGACTTACACTTTAAAGGATTCAAGCTGCTTCTTCAGTGTTTGAATTTGTTATTGATACTTTATTGTTCTGTAGAGTTCATTCTTTAAGTAAATTTGTTTTACAAATATTTACTGTTTGCCAAATTCTGTCTCTGTGATTGTGGAAGATGAAACCATTCTCAGCATCTACTGATCATTTGGAAGTTGAAGTCAAACAAAAAATTTGTATGAGAAGTTCAGTATCTTTCAGCATTAGACCTCAAATGATCAAAGTAATACAATTTAAATTGTAAATGTGTTGAGTTACAGAGATTTTGCAACAGTTTTAATTTGTATCCTTAGACAATTTTGTATTATCCTTAAAGGCATTAACTAATAACTATTGCATATGAGTTGTACATAACCTGTCAGATGAAGTGAGTTAGTTATTTCTAAAAACTCATTTGCTATAAAATTAGCAGTGGTCATGCAAGCAAAGTTAGAACATTTTACATATTAATCAGGGGCCTCTTTGGGTGGGAGTCAGAGAGATTGATCAGAGAGACGATGATCATTGCTGGGCACCAGGTTTGCCATTTTTGATTTTGCAACTTTCCTTCCTGTTTTTAAATCTCTGAGACAACCACGCAGTAAGGGCACTGCTTTATCAGACACGTGAGCATTTGTTTTGTATAGGCTGGTGCGAGGACAAAAGACAAACTGTTCAAGCTTGGAGGGTTGTTCAAGCCCAGGATCTCAAGACAGTGAAGTTTCTGTACCCACAACTTGTAGGATGTGTACCAGGAACTCAAGATACCGTCTAGTACTCCAGATTCACTAGTAAAGAAACGGTGTTTTTTTCCAGTTGTAGGCCATGAGTGAACTAGTATATATAAATTTATTGTGGAAGGAAACTAAACCTCTTTGATGTTATACTTGCAATAATCATCAGATTATTCATGTGCTATGAACATTATAGATACTGGGATGCGTTCTTCAATCTTTCTCTTCTCTATGAATGGCCAGATAGTCTTCACTGCTTGGCCTATTCCATTTTGTTAAGTTATCAACTTTTGGGGACTATCAGGTTTTTCAGAACTCACTGAAGTGGACGTCAAAGCTTCTCTCTGGATGAGTTTTTAACTCATGAAATTCCACATACTGAGAAGAGTGCTCACTCTCCAGAGCAATTGCTTTTACTTTGCATTCCATTCTTGCTACCTTCCATCCTAGACTGCAAAATAGGTTTTAGAAACACTCGTATATTTCAATTTGTGGAATAACAGAATTATTTTTCTCTTTACTGTGGCAATCATTTCCTTGAACAAACTACTTGAGGTAGGGCAGTGTTTGCTATTACTTTCCCAACAAGCATTGCTAGACAAGGCATCAGTCCTACCTCACTTGTGAACAATGTATGTATTACTATAAATTCAGAGCAGTACAGTTTTTCCTAAACCCTTGGTAAGAGACCCTGCAGTATGCCTGAATCCAAAGAGCCGTTATGGAGAAGCAGGGCCAGCCCTGACCACAAGTTTCCTCCCATATAAATGCAGGTAAAAACATTCTGTATTTGATAATTGCTAGGAATTCCTTTCAGCTGGCACAATAATTTCACACCATTGAATTTAAGAATCTTATTATTACAAATGACCACTTTTTCATGTTATTTTGGTTTGGCACGAAGGGGATTGCAAAACATGAGTAGGTTGGAGCAGGAGCAATCATAAGAGCCCTTTTCAATCTCTAAAACTCTCGGTTTGACCTCCAGAATGATTATCTCTCAAGATCTATGAAACAGTACTGGGGGAGCAACAAACAGAACATCTGTTTGAAGTGTAGAGAACTCAACATAGGTAGGGCTTAAGAGATATGAGGAAACAGAATACAGAGGAGAAAAAAAAAAAAAAAAAAAAAAAAAAAAAAAATAGGTGGCTCTCCATAGCTTTAGCGAGTAGAAATTTCCCTAACTGATTCTCTGAACAATGTAAGAACCCTGTTTGAGCTGCTTTATATCTTTGGCTTTAGTTCATGTTTGTCACATAGGAGAGTGGTGAAGGAATGATACTTGAAAACCCTTTAACTCATTTTCTGTGAGAAGTGTAATAGCACAGCTATTTTGCTGGTATTCGCATGGCTGTGCAGGACCAATATATATCTGTGAGGATTTGATCTTCATGTCCACATACCACTGTGTAACAGTAACACACTGATCTTTTATGACCATAGTTGATCCAAGATGACCATAGTGAAAACCATAATAGCTAAAGTTCAAGAACTGGTCTCAGATGTTATTTCAGCAAGACGTTTACATGTGAGAAGAGAAAACACAGTGCACATTGACATATTTTTTGAAAATGAAAGTAGGTTAAGAAGGTGAATCTGCTGGAGCATCCAGGACATGGTTTATTCTTAGTATTGATTAAGAATAATCCATTAAAAGTAAATTCATTTCCTACGTGGGAGTCTACAGACCTGGTATTTTTAATCTGATCTGAAAATAAGGCCAAGAAATGAGTTGAAAATTGAATTACACCCTCCTGATATATTTCTTCAGTATCCTAACATATCTCTTCTGTCTTTCCCACTGAAGACTAGACTAATCCCTGAATAACCTGGTCTTGTCCTCATCACTGATTCCACATGGAACAGGAGGTGCAATGAGAAAGCTCGAGCTTGCCCATAATTCTCTGTCACTCTTCAGCTGAATGGCAGTAGTCATATGCATGAAAAGCAAAACAGAATTTCCTTTCAGATATTCTCCTGTACCTCATTAAAGTACACAGAGCTGTACCAGAAGAAGCCCCAGAAATGTCTGGGGATTTCATTCATCCTTCCCACCTGTGTTGCCTCATTCTGTGCCAGCATTTACTATATTTCCTGGCTCACACACTCGCTTCTGGTTGGCATACTTCCTTTTGCTATTAGCAGGTTGTCAGAAACATTCAGAAAGTGAAAAAGAATCTGTTCTCATTTCTACTATTCTGCAGTAGTTTGTAGGTAGAGCATGTCTGGAATTAAAAATAAGTTCCAATTATATACCATCTTTTGCCTTCCTGGGAAAACTTCACAGCCTGATTGACTTGTTTCTACTGAAAACAGGTTCTCTTAAGACATTTTAGAAGTGCATTTCTACTGGCCATTTTTGTATCTAGTAGCAATTGTTATCAATTATTATTCTCTATAAGTCCAAGCAATCTGTTATCTTGTTTGCTCTCTCAGTCATACAGACGCGTGCTTTGAATCCTGGAGCTCCGCATTCTAACCGTACATTTCCAGGTATTGGTATGTTTATCCATATCCCATTGAAGACTAATTGCATGGTCAATATATAAGCTCTTTCATCCTTACCTTTTTATAGAATTACAGAATATAACATTGTTTGAGTTGGAAGGAACTTTTAAAGGTCCCTTTTCTATTTTCACTGATAGCTTAATCCATTGCTTACCCTTTCCCTGCACTTCAGTAGAACTCTTACTAATAATAGTAGAAAAGTTTTTTGGTTTTTTTTTTTTTAATTTAAAGTCACATATCTTTCCACTTCTAACCTTCGTGGCTTTAGCTTACTATGGTCATCCATTTGGAATGGCATTTATGAGACTCCTTTCTGGCTACATAGTCTTTTTTACTGTTGTCATTCATTTCATGATCAGCTTTCCATGGCATCAAGAATTGCCTGAGGAAGTTCTCTTTTCCCCCCTTAGTTTTTTGGTGGATTCATTGGCTGCACTGAATTTCACACTTTCTAATTATTCAGAAGTGTTAGGCATCAGATTACAAGCTTATTTTCCAATCTGCGTGCTAAGCAGAGAATGGTGCTTACAGACTCCTGATAATCATCCTCCATCCTTCCCTCAACTGACTGCTGCTTCTCACATTGCATTTCTGCACTGAATTTCTGAAAGAATGAAGCAAAACTAAATATCTTCCAGAATTACCTTAGCCTCCTTGCACAGATCCATTTGTCCACCTCCATTTGGTGGACAGCGAGCTCATTGCTGAATTACTGTAAATGTCTTCCTGGTACCTGGGTAGGTGAAGAACACAAGTGTCCTCAGGATTTCTGCCAGAAGCTTTTTCATCTTCTTTTCTTAACTCTCATCCTTACCTCAGTGCCAGCTGAAATTCATGATTGGCTCCAAATTGCATAAGAACACCACCTATAAGAGCTTTATTTCTTCACTGAGTGAACAGCATAGCAGTTTGAAAGCTGAGCCACCCTACTTGCCTGCTACCAATCCCAATCTGTTTTATCTTCCTATGCATTCACTTTTACTCTGATGTTAAATTAAATAAGCCTCCTAGGGAGTTTTTCCTTTAAATATAAAGAGATTTTGTAACACTTGAGCTAGGGGAAGTCACCATCTTCCCTCGAGGTCTCTGAGGGTCACAGATGAGGTTAGAAAAAGTGTTGCAAATGTGGTGCTTCAGTTTGCGCCTCCCTCTGTTGTGCTGCTTATGGTGCTGTGGTTTGTGATACAGTTGTTTGTTCTTTTGCAGAAGATTTCTTTTAGTTCTTTCACTTGTTCTTGTGCACGATCTAAGCCTTAACCTTTCCATAGCCTTCTCAATATCCCTTAGCACCTTTTTCTTCCCCCAGAATAATCAGGTTGTTATTCACCTCTTTAGTTCATCTTACACCTTTTGTCTCAGTCACTTATTGTTCCCAGATATATTTACAATTTCACAACAAAACCAGTATTTTATGTTAGTGTTGTCTCTTTTTATCCCTAGATATTTTCCAGACTGTGAATGCTTTTTTTTTTTTTTTAGATTTAAATCATATTTTAGTTTTTTTTGCCGATAGGCTTTTATTTTTAGAAGATTTTGTCACAGCAATATAATAGCATAAAATAAAATCAAAGTTATCAACATCTTCAGCTATGAGGAAAGATTGAAAATTTAACCTTGAGAAGGCTGAGCAAAGACCTGAAAGCAGTCATCCAGAATCCAATAGGTTGCAATGAAAAAAAGAGTCCATAGTCCACAAGACTCAGGGATGTATCTTGATCTGAATAATGGGAAACTTTCAGGTAA